GGTCTAAACGAAGGGGAAAATGTGGCCGCCCCCGATTAGAACGCCCCCTACCCTGGCCCACTTCCGTTGAACTAGCTGCCTTTTCAAAAACGGGGTAGGTAGTTCAACGGTGGCTGCTCGGATAGATTTCCCCCCAAAACGAAAAATTATCGGACACAGGTTCATGATTGCCGTCGTGCCAGGCGCCGTGATCGGCGCGTAGTGTCAGACTACACTCCGTAAGCACAGCGCATGAGGTTCTTCACAGATTCGGGCACAGGGAGTAATGATAACGATTTCGCCTTTACTTCTTTTATTTTTCAATATATTCACAGAATACAAAAAATTGTCGAAAAGGTCTTTATGGAATTGACAAAAAATGCGAGAAAATAGTTTTTTAATCACGAAAATCGTGTCGCACCGTTGAGCTAGCTCAACTCAACGGTGCAAGTGGGACATGGCCCCCGTTGAGGAGAAGGCAGCTTTCAAAAAAAAAAAAAAAAAAAAAAAAAAAAAAACTTAGCAATCTAAAGATAAAAGAGAGAATTTGAAACGAAAGTCTCACGGGAAGAAGCTCGAAAAATTCAACCCAGGCGGCTGCGCTTGCCCCATCTGGATTTTGAGCAGTAGTATGGATTCCATACGTCTGGGCCTAAGTCCTCCTGCGTGCAAGCACGGATTCAAACCGGCGACTTCGGCCTTAAGAGCCAAGTCTCTTAACCACTACAGCCAGGACACAGTGTTCAAAAGTAGAATCGTACCGGTCGTGATATCCACCCCACCCCTGCAAGGCTGTAGTGTCCAACTCAACACACACCACACACAACACCCACGGACACGGCAATTCTCGTACACTTCGCTCTGTAGTCAACACGTAACCCCCGCTGGTACTCTTACCCGCTCACGCAGACGGGACTTATCAATGCCCGTCGGTTCACGGGCGCTTCCACAGTAGTATGGATTCCGTACGTCTGGGCCTAAGTCCTCCTCCGTGCAAGCACGGATTCGAACTGGCAAGCAGGTCTGGGAATCTTTCCCAACGTTGGAAGAACTTTTTGAGGGGTCTCGGCGCATACCCCTTGTTTTGAACTCTGAGTTGCCAATCCGTCGCAGTCATCTGTTTAATAGAAAATTTAATCTCTGTGTTTTGAACTCTCAGCTGCCAATCCGTCGCAATCATCTGTTTAATAGAAAATTTAATCTCTGTGTTTTGAACTCTGAGCCTGTGTTTTGAACTCTGAGCTGTCAATCCGTCGCAATCATCTGTTTAATCGGAAATTTAATGTCTGCACGAATCATCGGCGGTGTAAGTTTCTCACCTCTTCGGATTGCAGAGTTTCGTAGTGTCCACAAGGTCCAGAGAATAGCTCCCCTCAAACTCTCCTCGGGGCAAAAGTCAAAGTCAAAACAAAAAAAAGAAATAAAAAAGTTGATGTCTTTTGTTCTTTTTTTCAATTAAGATATCTTTCTCGACCTTTTTTTTTTTTTTTTTGAAAGCTAATTCATTTAAGCCCAACCAATTCACTTACCTGCGACTGCAGCAGGCGAGTACGCTCGAAATGAATATGTTTACAATAGGCCGTAGGGCAATCTTCTGGGCAATCTGGTGGAGAACGTGTATTTTTGAGAGGGAAGGGGTTTGCCTAGAGGGTGCCCCCTTTATAGAAGCAATCAAACAACAAGTCCAAGCGGACCTCACCATTCAATGGAAGGGGTTAAGGAAAAAAATTGCCTTTTTACACTCAAAAACAGAAATCAGAATGCGGCTACAACAATTTTGCACAGATCGGCGGACGATACTACTTCCCTCCGGCAAACCGTTGTTTGGGGTTCGTAGAGGCTGGGTTTGTTATCATCGACACACACTTTCCACCCTACTCAATATTGCTCCCCTTTAACGAACTGATCGTCATCCCGTGGACGACAGTGGCGCCCCATTGGCCTCGACCCCTGTGCACAGAGTGCCAGCGTTTCGATCGCTACGAAGCGAAGGGCTTCCACTACCGAATACGGAGTGAGGACGAGCACAAGGAGAGAGCCACACGTCTGCAACCCTTCTCATCAGACTCAGAACTGACCAACGAACGACGACAGGACTTGATCCGAAAACGAGACGCGCGAAGCGTGCCGAAGCCCGTCCGCTCTAAACGACGGGCCGTAGCACGATGGGAAGCCCGTGTGACAGCTTCTCGTACGTCCCACTCGCATACACGTGTCCTTTCCTCGTTGTAGGGAAAAGGACGTGTGGGTACGGGAGGTACGGGAGGCTGACGCCCAATCGGAGGGTACTTGTCAGTCCACATATCAATCACGAAAAGGAAAAACTCCTCAATCAATCTTTTTTATCCAAGAAGGAGGAAAAACACTCGTCATTTTAATCATGCATGCAACTGACGGACCGATCCGCGGCTCAAGTTTAATTAGTCAGCGCGATGTTCATCCCTGGCACCTTGTTTCTCGAGGCCGCCTCGTGGTTCGGCTACTAATGCCGGACAGCATAAGGCAGATGGCATGCGCCGTGCACTCAGAGCTACACATCTAAACACTCTTGCATTCATGGACAAAATCCCGACGACAATCGTCTAATCAACCCGAAAAAGAGTCACACGTCTCCATGCATACATCCACAGTGGAAGGTGCGAAAATGAGACGTGCACAGGAAGGGATGGATTGCATTGCACAGTACGCACGCATCCACCGTTCACAAGACAAGAAGACAGGGTCCTTGCGTAGGAGGATTACCCAGGAAACTAATGGATGAGTTCCGGAAGAAGTTCTTTCACACGGAAACAGGATGCCGACTCATTCCCATTCAAGAGAGGGACAATCATTCAGACGCATCATCA